GCAAGAAAAAGGATTAATTGAACATTGTACTAAAAGACATCAATTCTCAGATGAACATTTTTTTTATCAAATAAAAGAGAATTATGCCCCGAGACGTCCGCAAAAGGGTTGGTTTATGGCCTTATTTAATCATGACCATCGTAAAGACAGCAATAAAGACGATGGTAATAAAGACGGCAATATCAAAGACGGCAATAGCAAAGACGGCAATAGCAAAGATGGCAATATCAAAGACGGCAATATCAAAGATGGCAATATCAAAGACGGCAATATCAAAGATGGTAATATCAAAGATGGTAATATCAAAGATGGCAATAGCAAAGACGGCAATAACAAAGACGACAATAGTAAAGACGACAATAATCCTACGAATAATTCCATTAATTTATCGGAAAAAAAATCAAATGTGAATAATCAAAAGAAAATCGAAAAACCAGTCATCGAATTAAGTAAAGCAATGCTAATTGATATTGATCCATCGAAAACGAGTGATCGAAGAGAAACTGCAATTTTACATTATGATGTAATTCATAATCCAGATAATTGTTATCATATTCAATTAAATTGGCTTGGATGCACTGCACGCCTTATAGAAGATATGTTGAAAAAGTGGAGTAATGCAACTGAAAAAAAAGGATTGAAATTAGTGGAAGTACCTGTTGAACAAGCAATGAGTTTAACCGAAAATAATCCATTTCAATCTCCTGTAGCAATAAAATTAGCAGTACAACCACCAACTTTGGAATTACCAGGAAAGAAATTACATCCAACCATTAATCCACATTTATATTTTGAGACACAATTGGCGAAACGTTTTAAGTTTATATTGGATGTTGAAGCAGATAGTAGATTTCCAGACGATATCGAAATCAAATATTCATATTTTAAAACTCCATACAAATATTCACAATATATACATCGTTCAGGTGTAGCATTCATACAAATATGTAATCCAGGAGAAGGGTATTTATGGGTAAACAATCGATTGTTTACTACACATCACAACAAGATCTTATCAAATCTTCAAGTGAATCCTGATGTTTTATTGAGAGAATTTCAAAGTTTTTGTGAAAATGAGGTGGAACTACGGAAATTCTGGGAAGATGTGAAAAATAGGATACTTTATATTGATGAAGTTGAAGATCTCTAAGTCATTTCCCTTTGATTATCTCGTTACATAAAATTTATATATCAAATATAAGTGTCATATTGATAGAGCTATAATATATTACCAGATTATTCTTCTACTGTTTTTCGAACATAATTTATATGAACATCAAATGACATCATTTGTTTGCACGAAATATCTAAAGGTGAATTTTAAAGATAATAGATAAAACCAATTAAAGGGAAATTCCGTCATGTTTCAATTCAATTTATTATTGCATGTAAATATAATTCATTTAATTTAAAACTATTTGATTCATATTATTCATATTTATTTTATTAATACTTATTCTATTCATATTTATTCCATTCATA